ATGGGTGGAACACCATCATCATCATCAAATGCACCAAGTGGAAGTGGAGGAACAGGTGTAACAATAAATCCAGCAATTTTAACTGGTCCAGTTACAATGCAAGTACCTGGTTTACAAATAACAGCAATGACAACTGCTATTGGTAATCCAACTGAAGTACTTTGTTTAATGAATATGGTATTACCGGAAGAATTAATTGATGATGAAGAATATGAAGATATTATGGAAGATATTAAACAAGAATGTTCAAAATATGGTCAAATACGTTCAATGGAAATACCAAGACCAATTGAAGGTGTTGAAGTACCTGGTTTAGGTAAAGTTTTTATTGAATATAATACATCTATTGATTGTCAACGTGCACAACAATCATTAGCTGGTAGAAAATTTGATAATCGTATTGTTATAACATCATATTTTGAACCAGATCGTTATCATCGACGAGAATTTTAATTTTAGTGAATGGAATCTGAAAAAAATTATTATTATTATTATTATTATCAGCATCATCAAAACCAAAAACAAACAAAAACAAAAACAAAAACATCACCTTTACCATCACACACACACACACGCGGAAATATATTTCATCATTTTAATTAATTTTTGACTCTGTGTTATCATTTTTTTTTCTTTTGCTTTCATTTTTTCTCTTTTCAATTTCATTCATTCATTCATCCATCACACACTGTAATAGGAAAAGAAAAAGATGTCATTTTTTGAAAAATTCAAACATTACCTTACCTTTTTTTCTCCATTATTCATTAATTAATTAATTATGTCATCATCCTCGACCCCTATTTAGATTTTTTGCCACTACTATTTCACCGCCACCACCACCATCATATTCAATTTTTTCATTTTAAATAATAATAAAAAATTTATCAATCAAGAAAAAAAAATTGATAGTTGATGGATTCGATTCGAATTCGAATTGATTAGTCATCGATTAATAAAAACCAGTCTATTGATTGATTTACAATGTACCATTTTTGGTTTTCAAAAACTATGTTTCTGGAAAGTTTTTCGTCTTTTTTCGTACATTCGAAATGAAAACAAAAAAGTTTTTTTGTTTTGTTTTTTGCGATTTGTACTCTGTCAACAAAGAAAAAAGAAAAAGAAATTCAAATTTATTTTTGGGATTTTTTTTGAAAAATAAAAAATTTGGTACAAACTTTTTATCGAATGTTTTTTGTTTACCATGAACCAAATGATAACAACAACATCAACAAAAATACATTAATTGTAAGATGAATCATCGATAATCACGATCGATTGATGATTCATTTTACAAATTTTTTTTTTGAACAATAATCAATCATGTTTGTATATGATGCAATCGATGATACAACACGAGTACCTAATTTATCCATCTAAAATTATACCGGCATTTGTTTTTGATCGATGATAACTAATTGGTGTCACATGCGAACATACTTTTTCGTTGTTGTTTTTCACTCGATTTTTTGTTGAAATGATGCCAATTTTGAACATTTTTTGGTTTCTAATGATAATAGGCTGTTGATTGATCAAACAATATATTTAATTATAGAAAACATTTGAATTTTTTTCACAACAACCAAACAA